CACTTCAAAAACCGAACATTTAAATTTAAAATGTGATGCTATCATATTGCTTATGCATATTTAAATTATATTTTTTTTAGAGTTTTAGGACCATATGGTCCCCGTCTACCATCATTAGATGAAAGACAAGTAATGTCATTACAGCATATCTGGTGGGATGCCACTCAGTAACCAGATCAACCCTTACCCTCTAGCAACACAGTTCTCAGAAACACCACGAACACTAATCAGCAGATTACAAGATAGCAGATAAACGTCGTCGACGAAAGGGAACAAACTACACCCAAAGCTTAAATCTCCAAGGGCATCCTCCATCCAAGAAAAAATGGTTTGATCATTTCACCCTTGTCGTCTTCCTGAAACAGCAACGAGATCTCCGGCAGCCAGTCTTGGGTGTTCAACGGGGCGGCAACCATCTTGACATCTTTACTTGACACTTGAGTTCGGCAATAGCACCCTTCAGACGATCTTGGTGCTCCGCAGGACACAGAATTAACCAATTCTGCATCATACCAATGACCATCAGATAGAGTATTTCCAGACTCCTCCATCCACTCCTCTGAAAACATAGATTATTTCTCAGTTTCCAAATACTCCACATTGCAGCAGATGAGGTGATATTAGTAACACAATGTTTTTTGTTGGAAAGCCAATACTTCCCAATCTCATCTAAGGAACCCCCAAGATTAACATTCAGTATTAAAGATAAGATCTTCCAAAGTTGGGTAGCCACCACACAATCAAAGAAAAGATGCTGTACAGATTCAGTTTGACAACAAAACAAGCAAGTAGCATCCTCAACCTTCCTTCTCTTACCTAAATTATCTCTAGTCAACACTTTGTTTTTGGACACTAACCAAAGAAAGAAGTGAACTCTAGGGGGAACCTTAATAGACCACAGAGCAGGCACTAAAACGGATTGTATCCCTCTAAAATTGATCACCTTGTATAGGGATTGTGTAGAATATTTAAATTATATATCATATATGTGTGCTAAATTAAGTGTCTAATTTATCCAATGTTCAAAACAACATGTAGCGGTACTATCTAAGTGTTGCTGATACGGAAAGGATATCTCTATATTTTCTGGGTTATGCCTCTACTGATGACAAGGATGTAATTGTCATTTCCTCTATCTTGTAACAACAATCTAATTGATTTCATGCGCCAATGACATATAAGAGAAACAAAAATACAATTTAAAGACAATGAAGGAAAGTCTTAATTTTCAATGGCAGATAAGAAAAGGTTATAAGTTTCAATAGCATTCAACATTTTTTCTCATAATAAGACCAGCTTCCTTCGAAGGCTTCCAATCATAGCTCGGATCCCAAGAAAATGCAACACTCCTGCCAAATCTGAGACACGATCAAATCAGCGGTCGTGTCTCGACTGGGCCGGCCCGGCCCGGCTGGCACGCGTGGGGAGACTGCGGAGGGAGGGTGGCCCAAGTTGCTATCCTCACCTCCTTGACATGTTCGCTTTCACCTGATTTCTTCCCCTCTGCCTTGCCGGCGCGCGCGCGCGCGCCCCGCCCTCTGCGTCTCCGACGAGCTTTGTCCCCGCGCCCTTGGGAGATCGAGCGAGCGAGCGGCTGAAGCGCGCGCTTCCTCGCCGGACTCATCGACCTGTCTGTGCTCCTGTTCGTGCACCACAGATGGAGATTGCATCAGGAAAATTGGCGCCGGAGCTGCCTCAGGATATCCTGATGGATATATTTTCCCTCCTGGAGATCCCTGACCTAGCTCGTGCAGGTTCCGTCTGCTCCACGTGGAACTCCGCGTATACCAGCATCCGTCGTGACATCGGCCAACAGAAGAAACCGCAGACACCTCAGAATCAGCTGGCGAGAATGTTGCTTGCCTCTACAGCCTTGCAGAAAAGAGGACCTACAGATTAACCCCGCCTGAGCCGCCCATCTATCGAAGATATCTGATTGGGTCCTCACATGGCTGGGTGATTACTGTCGACGAGCGGTCTGAGATGCACCTTGTCACTCCAATCACTTGTGAACAAATCGCACTGCCTTCTGTGATCACTTTTGAGCAAGTGGCACCCATCTATGACAGTACTGGTGTGATCTGTAAGTACGATTACTACTCAATGAGCAACAACACCAGGTCAGTTACTCGACCGCCCGTGACTCTTCCTCTTGGAAAGTTGCGGTACCACTTACATCATAAGGCACTTTTGTTTTATGATGCATCTGTTGGAAGCTATATTGTAGTGTTCATCCACAATCCAGGTGGTCAGATTGCATTTGCTAGGTTAGGTGATGAGAAGTGGACACGGCTGCCATCTCACAGATAGGTTAGGTGGTGAAATTGTCGCCTTCGATCTTTAGCGGGCCTGTGGTCACGAAAAAGATAATTATGGACAGGGTAAAGAATTTTTCTGGTACGGAAAGGTTTTACATTGTTCAGGCTCCATGGGGTGATCTGCTGCAAGTGCGGAGACCAGAAGTAGGGATAAAAGAAGAGGCGGATGGGCATCAGCACCAAGCGACATTTGAGAACAAAATCAAGTGGATGGAGATATATAAAGTCTGTGCTGTGACAAGAAGACTAGTGCAGATAAATAACTTGGGTGATCATGTATTGTTTCTCGGGAGTAACCAGATCATGTCTACTTCACTGATGATGTTAGTTGTGTAGAATTCACCTGCAAGCGGGGCTACCGACTAAACATTGGAATCCTTGACTTTGGAAGCAAGCGCATGGCAGAAATCATATTCCCTCGGCCTTGGTCGAATTGCCTGGCACCATTGTTCATCATACCAAATCCCAGGAAGATGGATTTGGCATTGCATATTTAGATGCAAGTATTACTGTATCAGCAGGGTCTCTTTTGAAGAGGCGAGTTTTCATGGTAGAGTTGGCTTGTAGCCTTGTACTTAATCTTGGGTTTTGATCCTAAAACCACTTTGTGAACATGCCTTTAATTAATCTTCTGTACTTATCAGTACCTCTTTTCCTTGGTTTTAATAATTTCGCAAGGTACTAGTACTAAAGATCGTGGTAGCAAAAGTAAGGGATATTATTAGTTGTGCTGCGTGATCTGCTGCAAGAAAATGCTACCGTCAGGCGGTGCATTCTGTAACAAAAATGAAAGTGCAGCTGTCATGCTCAAAAAAATGTGCAGCTGTAGTTTTTTTTTTTTTTTTGAGCAAAACGTGCAGCTGTAGATAGCTTGAATTGCTCCGTTTGTTCTTCCAATGCGATGGGCCAGTGAACGCATAGCCAGTTTCTGCTGATTGAGTCATTGAGAACATACTAGTGGGCCTAGCCGCCTTGTTACCGGCCCGAGTTGTTGCAAAGGAGCCCGAGTGTACAACGATGTAGGCCCAACCCACGAGTCCGACGCCAGTACAGCATGGATGATGGAGCACCTCCCTCCTTCCCCCATCTCCTTGCATGGCCGAGCCCACCAGCAACCATGGCCGCCCTTCACCCTGCCTTCAACCCCTGCCATAATCCCCATCCATCATTCGGTCGCCACGAGGTGCAGCAGTTGTAGTAGCACCAACCGTTAGATAAGGCAGACACGCGCCATGGACACATCATTGAGACCTCAAATTTTACACTCCATGGCACCGACCACCACTTATCTTGGTTCCAGTAATAATCCACCCAACCACACCAGTCAAAAATGAAGGACACAAGCACGCACGCACGGATGCTGTGTCTCTCGAGATCAAGTCACTCTCTCTGTCAATAAAAAGTTGCTGTTTGTGCTGCTTGCCTTGGTATGGCTCCGTTCGTGTGCCCTTAAACCCGGTTTAATCCGTTTCTTTTTTTCATCCGGAACAGTGTTTTTCTCCTACAAATTTCTCCAGAATTCCTCCAAACCATCCAAATTCCTCCAGAACCAGGGCAGCCGAACACCCCCATATGTCTCATCAGTCGTTATATACAGATGAGGCCTGTCCTGTCCTCCGGATTATCTCTAATCGCCCCCGGGTTAAGAGGCCTCTGCCTGTGCTTAACAATGCAAAATAAGCTAATTGATCCACGACTTAATAATGTGCGGTTACACCTGCTCACTCACCTGATTGCATGTCGCTCATTAGATTTGCAGGATCGGAGCAGCGCCAGATGCTTTGCGCTACGTTTGGTAACCTGCTGTGTCTGCTGCTGAGCCCGTGAAATGATGAGCGGCGTGCGCGGCGCTTTGCCTTGCCTAGCGTGACCGGAATGTGTCACCCGATGCACGGGACAAAGGAAGCAAACAAACGCCCGGGCCCGGGTCCAGCACAGTGTCTCTTCAAAGGCATCTCACTATCGAAGCTTGGATCCCAATCCAAAATGTAAACAGACAGATCTCATGTCAAATCGTTTATATGGATATTTGTCTTGTTGCGTTGGGTCTCTCATTGTCTGACGCCTCCTGTCCTTTACTCTGTCGTCCTGGAAGTACTGGCGGCACAGAGCGCATGTCTGGGAGAAACATTATTGACGTACCGTGGTCGCGTTTCATGTTTAGAAATCTTGGCTTGCAGGTGCAAACAAACAGTGCCTCAACTCTCAAGACACCGTGCTGGATCCACTGCAAAGGAAGAACACTGCTAGGGTTAGGGTACAACACACTCCAATTCACAACACTTGCTCATTCCAAATAAAGCATGAACAGATCGATCGGGATTCAGGCAGCACCAGTCACGGAGTCACCACTCATGAGCTGAGCTGATTAGCACACAGTGGTTTGTGCCAATTATTACTGCTGGTAATCGAACCAGAACCGACGTTGACCGCGTAGCAACCACTAGCCGGATACTATAATTTTCAGTTCACCAGATCGCATTGCCTGCAATTATTAACGCCGCGACCACTACTTAACTGGATCCCACCACCATGGAAGTGTACGACAAGAAGTACCAGTGCTCCTCCATTTCACCGTGCTCTTCTCAAGCGCTTGCTGCTCATAGTCATAGACTCATAGTTCCCCACTAGCTGAGCCACCGAGCTGGTTCCGGGCCGCCGCCGCCCGCCGAGGGCCAGGGCATGAAAGCGACGACGTGGCGCGGCGCGCCGGAGACCCTACCCGCCAGCGCCAAGAAGAAGAGGAAGAAGAAGGCGCCCGCGCCGCGCGGCTTCATGTGCGGCTGCGGCGGCACCGGGTCGTCGGTCTCCGTCGACATCTCCGCTGTCACGACGGCGCCGGTGAAGAGAGACGACGTTTCAACGGCGGCAGCTTCTGCGGGGGAGCCAGCGTCGAAGACGACGGTGGGCTGCGGCCGCGACACCGACGACGACGCGAGCGCCGAGGGCACGCCCAGCGTGGACTCGCTGCTGCGGCAGCTGCGGGAACTGGAGCGCGGCGTCCGCGCGCTGGGCGTCCGGGAACGGGAGGAGGACGGCGACGGCGGCAGCAGCAGCAGCGCGGCAGGGACAACGACGACGAAGGAAACGGCAAGGCCGCCGCTGCGCCCGGGGCACGCGCGGAGCGCGAGCGTCGTGGGGCGGCTGGACTCCGAGAGCGTGGCGGTGGTGACGGAGTCGGCGGACCCGCTGGGCGACTTCCGGCGGTCGATGGCGCAGATGATCCTGGAGAACGGCATCACCGGCGGCGCCGAGCTGCGGGAGCTCCTGCGGCGGTTCCTCGCGCTCAACGCCGCGTGCCACCACCACCTCATCCTCCGCGCCTTCGCCGACGTCTGGGAGGAGCTCTTCGCCGCCGCCGGCCACGCGGCACCCTCGCGCGGCAGCGGCGGTCGAGCTAGCAAACGTCCACGCGGTCGCGCTGACACGTTAAGTTAGCCACCCACAGTCGTCTCGCTAGCTCGTCCTGCAATGCAATGCAACCACTCTCCTCGGGAATTGTTGCTGTCGTCCGTGTCCGAAATACGGCGCGGTGGTGTACAGTGTACTAGATGACATGCCCTGCACGCGTGGCTTTCTGTGCCGTCACCAGAAAACCTGTTACTTTCATTGCCATTTCGTACAGATCATACGTAGCTTTCCCCGTGATTTTTGCATGGTCGTGCTGTACTGCAACACCGCTGATCGACTACGCGTGGTACGTCGGAGAAGATGCACAGGAAGAGCATGATGAGGCGATGAAGCTGTTCGTCTAATCGTCTGGCGTCTGCGTCTGGAGAGGTCAGGTGGCAGGCAGAGGGGCGAGGGCCGGGCGCGAGGGGAATGCCGTGATCTTCGCGACGCTGCTCTTCGGTAGGACGCAGAAGCGCGACAGCGACGAGGCGACTCTACCGACCTGAACCTCTTTGCCTTTCGCCGATGGCGACGACTGACGAGCAGGGGCAGGTGATGGATACAGCGTCGGCGGGAGGAGCTAGGAGCCGGCGCAAAAGAGACGTGCGTACGAAGCAGCAGGTCGGTCGGACTCGCTGGATCGGTGAGACATCGATTCGCGGCGTACTTGCCGGCCATGTCAAGGAACATTTCGCTGTTCGTCTGCACGACGCGTCAGATGTGCGAGTTCTGAAAGACGCATTTGATGCATGATATACTCCGTATACTCGTGTGTACATTCCAGAGGTCAATTATATAAGAATCTGATCTGATGGATGCGTCCAAAAAGCTCCCAGATGATCCCGTAACTGAAAGTTGGAAACGGCTATAATTTCAAAAAAAGAAAAAAAAAAAGAGGGGTTCGAAACGGCTATACTGGTAGTTACAGATTCATTCTATGCCACTACTGGAGTATAGTATACTACCACTGACTGTGGGAAAACCGGATTATATTGCCAACTTCCGTTGAGGTGTTGACTTTACTATTCTAGCTTTGTTAACTCTCGTCGGTCGGCGCTCCAGCACGGCTTATCGAATCCTAATACAGTACAGTATTACGTACTGTAATCCCTCTGTCTCATGAATCAGATCTTATACGATTCAAAGTTTGTCTTCACAAAGCAAGACATTCTATCATTTCTTAGCACTATATTGATATAGTGTAGCACTGTTTAGCGCTCTTCATCAGTGTTTCCGAGTGGTATCTAGACAGTTTGCTTCATCAGCGATATGTCAAAAATCTTACGGTGTCACTTTTCACGGGACAAAGGAGGCAAGTCGTAAGTGTAATCCAGATTCATCGTGGCGCGCTGCTGATCAGACAAGGCAAGTGTGACATGGATTCATCACGGCGCATGGTTCGCTACACAAGGCAGAGTCCGACGGGTTTGTGCATGGTCAACGGTTGCATGGCGTCACCGTCACACCAGCGGACCTGAGCTGCTTTGTGGCGTGGCGTTTGATTCACAGATTTGGGAGTTGGAAGCGTCACCATTTGTCGAAGGATATGGACTGTTGTCGTCGTAGGCACCACCGGAGGGAGAGGCCCCAACGACTATGGTAGTAACGTGACACCCAGACAAATCTTAGACAATATGCATCTGGGTGCCTATGGAGAAGATTACTCGACGGTGGCGGCAATGAACCAAGCCACATCCTCCTTGACAAACAATAGGAGCGTGAAGCAGGGGTCACCAGTGGTAAAAGCCATGGACACACGCGGCAATCCAGGTGGACGATGACGTGGGGTGCTTCAGGCAATGCGCCATATGAAGAAGCGGTGGTAGAATGGAGAATGGTGGTGTGGGGGATATGACCCTCGGTATACATAAGATAAAACATGGGCCGCACCAACAGAGGTGGTCCAGCCCACAAGATCAAGGCATGCACGGCACTGGTCGACGTGCACCGCAAGATATTGTATAGTACCAAATATGATACTTTCTTTATAACCCTACCCCTCCAGAGTATATAAGGAGAGGCAGGGTCCCCTAATCGACATCTACGTACATCTCATATTCAATACAATACACCAAAGACACAGGACGTAGGGTATTACGTCGATCAGACGACCCGAACCTGTCTAAATCGCTGTCTCTACGTCTTGTGTCACCATCCGGTTCCTGATTATGCGCACCTCCACCGATCAATCTACCTTCGTGGGATACCCCTCGGAGGATTGCCGAGCATCTTTTGTCGACAGTTGGCGCCCACCGTGGGGCTCATGCACGCTGATCCTTGGTGAACCAGATGGCGTAACTCAAGATCAACATCCTTCGCGGCAACTCGGCTGATCGCGTTGACATCCTTCGACAACCATGGCGCATGTCTTCGTACGCGGATTGACACCGCCCAGCTTCGACTACGTCTGTCCTACTCCAACACGAGATCAACTTTGTTCCAGCCATCAAGTGAGCCGCTAAGCGAGCTGCCCGCGTCGTCGACCAGATAACGCCATACACTGCCGACCAGACATTCTGTTTAAAGCTAAGTCACGCTTTAATATTCTTCTAAATATTCTCCAATCTTCGTATATCGTCATAATATTTCTCCGAGTTGTTTTCTCCATGTTTGCTCTCCAAACAATTTTCCGAACCCCCGAACAGTCATGTTGACGCTCAGATGTCCCTGTCTCTGGCTCCTCCCTACACGTGCACGAGTGTCTGCCCTCTGCGTTATGGGTGGTCGGCATCGGCTCCTTAGCAATGCTTTATTCTTCCTACACGCACACGGGCTCCACGCTCTGTGTTATGGTTAACAGGCTAGCTAGGGCTGGAGACTCAGCTACACACTAACTGGTCGGACGGTTTATATTAAATATAAATACATCCACATAATAACACTAAGTGTTTACATCAACTAATCGTCGAGCTACATATGTTATTTCATCACCATTACTGATTCTTCTCCGGAGTTCATATATTTTACATCATGTACTACCCGTTCTACATATTTGCATTGCAGGATCATCGTCCAGATGGTCGACCACGTGGTGCTCGGACTTCTCCACCAATCAACTGGTCGAACCGTTAGGTTCATGGATTTCATCGCCGGCCAGTTGATCGGACTGTTTGCTGATCGTTTCTACTCAATGCTTGTGGCAGAACCGCCTGAAATAGCATACTTACGGAGGCGCTCATCTTCCACCAGACACTAAGCACCCCAAAAGCAAGCTACAGCAGGCGGTGTTCGTTGGGCACACCCCAAGGGAAAACCCAAAAGGTTCACATTTTTCCCAAGGATCAAATAATGAGAACGAGTTACAATACTTATCCATTTCATACATCAGAGTTTCTTAAAAAATATATTATTACAATACCAAATGTCAGAGTACAGAATGATAAACAACAGAATTTGAAATGAACATCTAGTGATAAGAACGAGGATCCATCTGAGCCCAACAGAAGAATCCTCCACACAAAGGTACTTCTCAAGCATCGCCAGCAACAGGGGTAAATAAACCCTGAGTACACAATGTACTTGCAAGACTTATCCGACTAGTGGGAATAATTTTCTGACTCCAAGGAACATGAGAAGCTTTATGGTTTGCTGGTTTATTTTAGCAGAAATCAATACTAATAGTGAGTCCTTATTTAGGTTATTATTATTGGCCGCATTAAGTTATTATCTATCCAGTCTATATAAGCACATGTTCTACTTTCAAGCAAGAGTTGAGCAATCAGTTCCATTTCATCACCTTCCATCTTTCAGTTCTTACTACGATGCTAGAGTTAAGACAAGTCGTACCGACTCGGCGACGATTCATGAACCAATGTGCCTAGCTGGGTGCCCCGAAAACACACACCCCGCTTGTATCCCAGGCACAAGCAGGACTAACCCATCACTCTCCTGTCCTGGGTGTCTAGGTCCCCGTCCAAACTTGGACTCCAAGCCCCCACTTCTGAGTTCTGGACTCGGTGTGGTGCAAGGACCTCTACCATCTCCGCCTCCAATCAGTCGGTCCGGAAAGAGCCAGATCCGCGACAAGAGAGCAACAAGTCTTCCCTGCACCCATACCCAAGTATGCGCTCGGGACAATAGATCTATGACTTGCCTAGCGTCCATTGCAACGATCGGTCTTTAATTGACACGGACAGGGAAAAAGTGTAACCAAGTCATGCCCTGTTGGCCGGAGGACACAACCCCTTACACCCACCAGTACCCAAACCATATCCCTACCCCGTCAACAGTTTCCTTTCCACCATTTTACCATGAGTGATCATATTTATCACCTATTTGCGAGTAACGGCAGGTTACTCACGCTACCGATATCCTAAGCATAAGAGCTACTCGACCTGTACTAGTAGGACTCATAGGTAGATATATTTATGCATGTAGTTTCCATAAAATGCCTGTAACATAAATACACATCATAGATACATATTCAGTGATCATTTAAAATATGGGTTATGCACCGGGGCTTGCCTTGGGCAGGCGACGGGTCAGTAAGGTCAGCACCAAACAGCTCCGGGGCTCCCTCCTGCACGAGGATCTCCTCCTCGTACTCCTCAATCACCTCATCGTACTCCTATCATCGACGGGCACGAATTCTACCAGCTCGTGATCTACATGCATGGAATTATGACGCAATGCTTAGTAATATAGCAACATCAACTCTTAAAATAAAATTACCTCTGTCTAACTACTGAGCTAGTGCTACCAACCATGGTACTAAGCTATCTATTGTTTTTTATAACAAGTTTGAAGCATGGCACACATTATTATAGCAACTACAGGTATTCTTACTCCCATTACTGATTTACGCTATATATGATACAACAAGGATAATAGCTACTCTACTTATCAACTTACCCTAAGACTACAAAATTTACAACAAGTACCTACCAACCTAGTGAGCCTACTGTAAAATTTTCATATCTATAGCTATCACCAATTTTTCACAAATATTCCTACAAATATTAATCTACATAATACTAAGCTCAAGTTTGAATTTATGACCCTACCATCATCATAGCTAACTGTAATCTAACTATACTAACAAGTAG